CGGATATATGCTATTTATTGGTATATGAATAACGAATTTTTCTCCTATATTCACCTAATTGCCCTCTCGAGTTACTTATAATTATCTTTGCAGATATATGGCATCGCAGAACATCTTTTTATAAAACCGATTTTTCTGGAACAGATTTATTTCTCACAGAATATTTTATTATTCCTTTGCAAGATTGCTCGCTTCTATTTTATCATTGGTTTCGTTTCTTTTATGCTATTAAGAGATCTTAATTATTTCGACGCTATTTTTACTCTTACTCATTAGATGCTTGTCTCTTTGAATACGAATTTTGATACGTATTTACCACCTTCATATTAATTTTTGCTTCTTTTTTCTAATTGTTTTATATTAAATTACAAAGAATAATATCGTATATATATTTATATACTCTTTTGTATGTAATGTAGTTCTAAGTGCTATCCTTCCTAATTCTTAAACCAGCTACATTTTGTTCACCAAACAAATTTATCGAGCCATTAACTAAAACCTTTATTGTGATAAATTAATGCAGATTTAAAGATTTTAGAGCCATATATTAAAAAAATATTTATAATTTATTTGCAACATACTTGAGATATGATCAAATTATGTATTCTACTACTAATTTAACTGTATAGATCTTTGCTGCCTATATATTTCAACCGAGTTCCTATCAAAAAACTTTAGAAATCCCATTGTTTTATATTCAGATTTAGAAGGCTTTGGAAACTATCCAGAATTCCTAAATGAGAATTTTAGTCACTTTGGGTAGACTAAAGTTATTAAAAACGAATAGCTGAATTTTTTACCCTATGAGTAGGCCTCATGCTTCTAATGATTTTTTTTAGTTGTGCTTCCTGAAAGGTATTCTCATCCAGGACTGACCTCAGTTTTACCTTGCCTGGGTAGGTATCCCCAGAGGAAGTAGAACCCTTGTAGTGCACTGTATAATTTCAACACACTATAATTACGCCACATCTCCACAAGCGCCATGATTCCAGCTTGAAGTGCTGCTGAGACCTAAGCGAGGTCGAAACTAATCAATCCTGGATGAGAATACCTTTTGGAAGGCAATGCAGAGTGGACTTCAATGGAAACGCAAAGCCTATTCAGCATTCTTGCTAAAACTCAACTATACATCCTTGATCGCTTAATGCGGCCCAGGCTGATTGAAACTTACTTATTTTTATTTGCTTTCATTTTTGATCTCTTCTTGCTTTATTTGCATTGCACAATCGCATGGAATTTTCTTCATACGTGTTTGTTTGTTTTGATGAAAATTTAAAACAGTATCTTTCTTTTAACGGGATAAAATTTTTGCTCTGATTTAGCTAGCTGCTTATCGTCTGTCTATATAGGTCTGGATAAAATCAAACAGGTGACTTAATTCAAAGTTGATTATTTCATAAATCACTACAACTCAGCTAAGCTAAATTCTAATAATCATTGAAGCAAATATCGTTTTATATAGATTTTCAATTTTTCTCTTTATTGGGTAGGTTTCTTTATCTATTAAGCCTAGAATTATACAAACGCTCTGATTAAAATATGACACAATTATAAGTCAGTTTCATTATTCACAGTTTGCAGCCATAATCCTTAATTCATATGCCAGAAGCCTTAATAATTATTACATAGGCTGTGTAATTAATGAATTGATGCTTTGATAGTTTTATTTCGATAATGCAAAACTACAGGATTTTGCTATACTATGCACAATTCTTAGCACTCTATCCTACTGTTCACATTGTTTCTTTTCTTGCAACCGTCTTAACTACTCGTACTCATTCCATAGATAACAATTCATATGCATCATTCCGAAGCACTTTGATATTCAATTCAGACACTGGTAAACTCATTAATAAAGAGACGGTGTGAAGGGCAAAAATAAATCTATTAATTTTGTTGCATTGTTTTATCTCAGCTCAAGCAGACGTCAATTTCAGATCGCTCAGCCCTGAAAAGCGTGGGGACGTTACTTTGAATGCTTATGTACCGCAGGAGGATGAAAAGCTCAGCATTGAGTTAACCTATTGGCAGCCAGGGACAGACCTGATCAGCCCTATTAACGAATTTTCGGTATTTGCTCGACAAGATCGTGTTGCTGCTCACTCGCCTCGCAACGGAGTCGGGCAGGAAGATGAAGATTTTCCTAATGAAAATCGGAGCACTTTTCTACTATGCCCCCCTGACCTGACAATAGGTCATTTAGAGAAACTGATTCGAATCAAATACGAGCTAAAGCCTGGAAGACATGAAGTGGCTGTCTTTTTTTCTACAGGTTAGTTGGTTATTTTCTCACATACTTATTAAATTATTTGCCTACTCATTTCAGCCTCTGCTTCACACGTATTAACTCTTTTTCACGTTACTTAAGCTTTTCTTGCGTGTATCAAATCCTATTGGTTCCTTGTAATACACAAGATAAACTACAAGTTCGGGTCCCATTGGCTGATTTCTTTAAAATTATTTAAAACTATCCACTATCAGGTGTCTTAACCAATAATAAACCACAAAGATTGATCTAATCAGTTCTTCCGTACATAAAAAAGACCCTGCTTGATCCCTTAAATTTTCCACTTCCTCAAAATAATCTTTGCAGCTATCAAATTGATAAGGGGCCTTACGTATTTGCCATTGGATGACTGCTGGACTAGTTAATAAATGTAGGAAAAAATCAGGCCGCTCAAGATAAATGAAATGGCATTTATATAAGACTGCTGTCATGCCTAATGGCAACCACGGGAAGCAATTGCGCCTAGATACGAGATATTGATCTACTTCTTCATAAATATGTATCCGATAACTAGATTAAGATTAATATTATTTATATGTCCTAAGCGCGAGCTCTGGAACCACTTACATCGGATTCAACGCACTTTGCATTATATATAAGACAAATAATTGGTTCTAGATAATTCTCTTAGTCTTAACTGTCAAGTTGACTGATTTCATGTGAAAAAGCCGATGAAGTGCTTCGTGGGTCGATTTCGCCGAAGGACGACTAGGAATTCTCTCTGGTCCCTTATTTTTAGATTTTCCTAGGAAATTTGGCTAACATATTCTTCGAGACACTCGCTTAGCTCCGGTTTAAGTATGTTGTTATTTCGTATTCATATAACTGACATCAAAGCTGGCCGCAGGCTAACAGCGAGCCAATGGAGACTCTTTACCTTACAAATTGTTAACACTCCGAGGAAAATTAATTTTGTCAGGGATAAAAAGATAATATTTTACATAATTGATGTTCATGCTCACCCATGAGCGTTTGTATGTGTGCAGGCATGCATAACCGCCAGTGTTTAGCACCCCCTAGTTCATTAAGACTTAATAGTATTTTTTGGTTCGTGTGAACCAACCAATACAATTAAGCACTCCCCAAATCGTGATTGAGTTTCTTAATGAACTCTGATGTATGGAGACTTTTTGAATGTCATTAGAATTTCAACTGAATCCAGCACAGGTAGTTTTACTTAACTTAAATAAGTACAGAAGTGCAACCATACCGAGGGCTACACCACCTTGATCTTCATGTTTTAGTTCAATAAGTATATTTCTTCTTCATTATGAAGGCAAGATCAATCCACAACACTTAATGTGGACTGACTTACACGTTTTCTTTAATTTCTGGATTGAGGCATTAACTGTGTCCGAGCGGTACTACCATTAAGTTAAGATCAGCATCGACAGCGTAAGGCTGCCAGCGTTCTCAAAAGTTCCAATCACACAATTGACTTATTTTGCTATTCATGCATTGTTTGGCAATCCTTATCCCAGGATAATCGAAGACATGAAGACCAGTTGCATCGACACTATTTTGGTCGTTTGATTTCGTTGTATAAACATAGCCTGGTCTCGTTTTCCAAACTTGATCGTGTTTTCAGGGTCTCCTACGCGAATGAACCTTGTATAAGGTCCTCAGCTTCAGTAGTAATATTAGGTATCGGACTTTAAACTTGACGCATTCCCAGACGTCTGGCCGGCGTCGTAGCCATTGACCATTCCTTTCTCTTTACTCTGACTGGTAAGGATCACTGACAATGCTGAGAACGACGCCAACGAATGCCTGTGAAGATCTGTCTATCTAGGTCCCACTGACGACGAAGTTGAGGAAACAAGGTCGAGCCACTTATATGCAGGAAAGTTAGACCGCGACAAAATAGAATCCATGCTATCTTGGCATTCGTAAGTTTAAGAATTGCCGACTGTTGAATTTTTCCCATTTAAGTGGGCCTCATAATGATATGGAAATACGAGTCCAAAAGATATTCACAGCCAACGGGAATCTCCCCCTCGCGATTCTGGCGTGGATGCGGATCATCAGGCCTATATTTTCAATTTATACATGCTACCACGCTTATATTAAGCAAGTTTTGATACTATTAGCCATTTTTATTTAATATATACCAGTACCATCGGGACCTACTGAATATTAGTCTTATCAATACAATCGACCATAGTCGCGAATACAAATTTGCTCGTCAGCACCCATTTAATCGTTTTATCGTGGAGATTCTTTTTAGTTGGCTGTTGCTATCCAGGCGAGATCGAAACCACAATGCACTCTTGATGCGAATAGCTTTCGGAGACAAAACTAAGCAAAATTAAATGGCATCATGAGTCCCAGTCACCACTGTGGGGTGAATACTGTGTGGTCCAATAAACCCACCTGGCGCCATCACCTTGATAATTTTGGTTCTCGAAAGTTTATAATGGAAAATTATTTCTTAATCTTATGCCCAAAATTGCTTGAGTAATTTGCTCTGTAGTTGAAGAATATCTGCTTACCGAGAATAACAAAGTATTGACAATGAGTTTAATATTAATCACTCAATAGACATCTTTCATTTTAAATAACGCTGATGCGTGCTGATAGCACCAATCTATTGGCACTACTTTTTATGCATTTGCTTCTTATAACTATAATAACTCTGACGCGGCCAAGTTGCAAAAACGAGGTCCGGCTACTTCTAAACCAGAAGAACCCTTTTTATTATACTATTACATTCGTCTAATATAACTCTTATTCTCATGCTCCCCCATCCAACAGACGACTGTTTCACTTCGGACTACACGCTCTCTGATCTCGCCTGTCTCTACGCTTGGCGACGTCAGCAACCAATGCGCCTTTTCTTCAGCATTGTTGACACTTCGCCTGCCTCAGAACCTTGGTTGGCCTCCGCAGCTTATACCAGTTGTAACCAAGCCTCAACTGCTATCCCCCTCTGTCCTAGTGCTCCGCTCCATACGAACACATTTTCTTCCTCATCACAACCCACCACAGGAAATTCCGTTATTCTTTCAGAGACAGCTGTATCCACACTCACTCCCCCTCATGGCAAGATATCTCCCTTTTCTTCCAGCTTCTTGTCTTCTTTCTCAGCCAAGACACGGCACGTTGCCTCCATAACGCGGAATAGCGAAACAAACCTTAAGCAGTTGAGTACTTTAACACGCGGTGATGAATGTACAGATCTGTCTCAATCCTCCTCAAGAGGTCTTACTACCTCATTTGGAAATAATCCCCGCTATTCTTCCTCCTCCACCTCATCATCATCCTCTTCTTCTTCTTCTTCTTCATCTTCTCTTACTGTCCGTTTTAGGACGGTGCCGGTACATACTAAGTCAGTAGAAGATACGAGAGCTGGCCGGATCTCGCCCTTAGCCCAATCCAATGCAATTCAGACGATGCTATCGAACCAAAAAGCACCTCCATTTTCTTCCTCTTCCTCATCTTCCTCATCTTCTTCCTCCTATTCTTCTTCGTCCCCTCCTCCACTCCCTCCTTCCGGCCTGGCATCCCGACTTGTTCCGATAACTGGAGTCGCTTCAAATGATACAGCCTCCCGGGGCAGGCACTCACATGCCAGTCTTTTGGTGGCCAAAGCTCCAGGCTAGTTTCGAACCCTTTCATTATTTGTATCTTTCTTGCTTTCTTCCCAACAAGGACGACGATCATTTCGATTATTACTAACGTAGTCGAGACTTTCAGATAAAAATATATTGTATCTTTTCCATTCACACAAGTATACTGGCACAAGTCCTCGAATTTGAAGGCTTTTCATGTATTCTTATTGTGGTATTGCGTTCTTTTGTTCCCAACTTTGTAAATGTTGTAACTCCGACTCCACAATCCTACTCAGGGCGGCATCACCTCATTATCAAACCATTAGGAAGAACAATTGCGCGAATCAGGAGTTTCTCTCTGGAACTTTGGTTAATCTCTATATTCTCGTCATGCCAAATTAAAACCCAGTTGTAAGGAATACTACTACTGGTAACTTTTCCTGTATATTTCCATTGTGAATATTCGAAGTACATTTCTTAACCGCTTGTTGTTGAGTTATTAACATAAAAGCAAGTATTTAATATTTACTTAAGCGACCAGGGTTTAATTTTTAATTTATTAGCCGAGGTAGTGAAGGGTTAACAGAATTCCAAACGAATTACTGTTGTGAAGGAATGGTGGAATGGCTTAGTAAGTTGGCCATGAGTAGGTAGGTTTGCAGTCGGCCAGCATATGCGACATCTGAAATCTCAAAATATCAACGAAATTTGAGGCTAATAAAATATTTTATATGCAAAGAAAAGTTGGATTTCGAGGAATCTCTTGTTTCCTAATTGTTGAGCTTACTTCCATTTCGAGTGAAAGTGTTTGGTGAAGAGATTCGATGATCGATTCCATCAGAAGACGACGGCGGATTCCTCTTGGCCAGCTGTCGATTGGGTTTACTGGAACATTTTTGTTGGTGCTGTTTTCAAGGTAATCTTATTCTATTCTGATCAAAATGTGCAAGCTTTCGTCCGTCATATGACGAACATCAGAGCAAGGAATCATCATTACAGCCAAATTCAAGCTAATGAGTCAATAAAACTCAATGGCGAATCCCTAAAAAGTGTGTATATATATACCTTGCTCACATGTTGTTCATGACGGATGAAAGCTTAGCACCTTTTCACCGAAATCGAATAAGATTACTTAAGGAACAGCGTCAATATGAATGTTACAGTAAAAACAATCGATGGTCAAGAGAAATCAGTCGTCGTCTCCTGATGGAATCGACCCTCGAATCTCCTCACCAAACACTTTCACTAGAAATGAAAGTAGGCTGAACAATAATTAAATCTTTTTTTGTTTAGGATTCTTAACGATCACTAAACCTATCAAAAGCGATAAGTATTTCCAACTCAATTTTCAAGCCTTCTTCCTTGCATTATGGAGGTTACTACTTTTTGTTTGTGTCCCTAATAGTACAAGGGTTGCCTTGAAGGTGCGGATGAATTTGTGTTAAGTCTTCTTAGGACCGTCCTTCGACTCCCATAATCTTAAGTCCATTTTGTTTTAAAGTGGCAGTGAGCCATGATGAATAATGGTGTTGAGTTCTGGATGTGATTTCCTGTGGCAAAACGAGCCGGGAGTCACAACTTTGTGCTTCTCCTAGCAGCCTGTATAATACTTAAAGTAATCGCCATTGTCGGTAGGTCGCATATGACATGCCTAAGTACGACAAGTAGCTCTGGGCTAATCTTACGCTGGCTGCACTACTAATTTATAGGCTCCATAATCCTTGCATTGAGATCTCCACATCTTTTAAAATACTTGGATTTACATAATTCCTTCTGGTGAAAATAATAGTTCGTATACGATTTCGATAAGAAAAAACACATGCAAGGTCATGACTGCATCTAGCGCACAAGTGATCTGCAACAACATAATTTATCGTTGTAATGAAGAAATGCGGCACGTCGAGATTGTTGCTATTATGGATGATAATACGACCAAGGCGAAGCCGAAACCACAGTCCACTCTGGATGAGAATATCTTTTGAGAAGCAAGGTAAAGTAAAATGAAAATGACATCTTGTTGCCTTCAGTTATTACTGTGGAAAAATCCAAATATCAGCCTCATGATCTTATGCGCCCTATGGCACATAAAACTATTAGTTAAAATCTATGAACAAAGTATGAAGCAGACAATCAAATCGTAGAGTCTGTCAAAAAAGGGATTAATTGAACTATATGACGTAATTACAATCAAGGCCTGCCAAGTCTCATTATTAAGACGTTTTTTGTTTTTAATGCTCCCACGAGGTTTCCTTATTGATAGACAAGATCTCAGCACGAATTTATTGAAATCAGATGGTGTTCAGACTTTAACGAACAAATCAGCAGTTGGAACAAGAAAGTGAACTTCCCTTGCTTACTATGGTAAACTTACTAATCCTTTCCATCCTATTTGAATGAATTTATAAGAAAATTCTTTAAAAATGGATTTTATGCATATTATTGGTACCACAGCAATACCTGACTATACTAAAAAGCCATGAAATAAATCCCAATTATTACTAATAATAAAGCAAAGACCATGAAAACGATATTTATACCCGAATTAAGGAGTAACATTGGATTTTGAACCGATAATAGATATCTAAATGGCCATAATTTGCATGCATTTAAGATGAAGAGCTTAAAATAATTACGTTTTATATTAAAGTCCTATTGAACTAAATCCGATCAAAAAATTATCATAGAAGAGAA